TAGGGCCACACTGTCAATGCCGATAGGGGCTAAACCGGCTCCCGAAAAAATAGACATAATTCGAGAACATCCTGTTCCAGGTTCACGCAGAGAACTGCGTAGATTCCTGGGTTAATAAACTTCTGTTGACGTTTCGTACCTAACCGTGCTGATGTAGCCCGGCCACTGAGAGGCTTGGTGTAAGGACGGGCTAAAGTGTTTCGCGTGACCCAGGCGGGCCTTTGGCAAACCGAAGTTCTGAAGGTCTTCTCTTTTGTCGTGATGCAGAAGCAGGCATCACAGATACCTTGGATGTTGTGGTAGGCGCAGTACTACAACAGTTTGTCCACTGTCAGTGGGAAACATTATCTTTCTTCTCGAAAAGGCTTAATGCTTCTCAATCGCGACGTGGCACATTTGGCAGGGAGCTACTGGCGATTTACTTAGCCATCAAGCATTTCAGATATGTACCGAAAGCATACGCGTTTACCGTATTCTCCGACCATAAGCTACTAACGAAAAGAATTAACGCAAAGCATGACAACCACTTGCAGTGAGAAGTTCAGCATCTAGAATTTATTTCACAATTCACTCCAGAAGTAAGGTGTGTCGGGGGCAAGTAAAGTGAGGCAAATGAACGTCTTAGAACGCGACCACATCGACCCATTAGAAGTGACAAAGTTGCAAGCGACGGATAAGGACTTAAGACAGTTGAAAGGAAATGTGAACACCTCATCAAGTCTTGATGAAGTGATACCCAATGGCCCTCTATCCACCGCTTATAATGTATCCAAGAGTAAACCATGTCCATTCATGTGCTTATCAACGAGATAGTAAGTCTTCTTTAAGGTGCACAGCATTTCTCATCTTGGTATTCGGGACTCAGTGAAGCTGATTACTAACCCACGTCTTTATCCGACATGACGACGTACGAAAACCCCTGTGACCCCGTATGGAGGACATTTCAAAGTGACTGGTAAATCAGACAAAGTTGTCGCGGTCGAACGCTCTGACAGACGAGGAATGGTCAGTATTGACATGATCGAGCCAGCGTTTGTGGAAACGGACGCCATGGGTTCCTGGCCTAAATCCACAGCTAAGCGACCGGAAACATCTGAAACCACCATCAAAACGGAAGCAACGGCGTCGGAATCGCCAGAAACTAGTGACGGTGGTGGAACCACAAGGTCCAGATTGAGGGCTTGTCGACCACAACGTTACTTTCAGACAATTAAATTTTGATAAAACCGAGTCAACGGCAGTGGTATTAGTGCTCTTTTCATTAACTTGTTGAAAACGCGTTCACTTTTGCGATTTTGTCAGACTTTTGCCAACACAATAAAAATGAAGTATTTTCGTCTGGCCCCATAGGCTTCCAAAACTTTTATTTTATTTCCAAACTAGTGATTCTCAACAATATTCCGGGTATCGCGATTTTAATTTTTGTTTTTTATCTCTCGATGCATTACTACTTTGATGAAGTTATTTTAGCATTTCGATTACCATACACCTCATCTTCATGTAACTACTCTTCCAAACGGTTTAAATCCTGGTGATATGTATCCTCAGCCTTTCCGCTGTGCTTTAAATATCTTCAAACTCAATTTACCTTTATCAGATAACACCTTATATCGAACAAAGACATTCTTTCAGATATCTGTATTCTAGGGAGGGATTTATGTAGCATTTATTTCACAGAAATTGTGTTGGTATGTTGGTATGTAACGACTTGTGTAAATGTTTGCTTAATTGTACCGGTTTCAAATTTTTGTCGGCTCGTTAGTCAATACAATATCCTGCTTCATGCTCCTTGTTACCTCCTGATATTCACACTGTCTGGCGCAGGTGGATCAGCAGTGTTGGGGGTGGTAAATAGGCGATGGCGTTTCGGGAGGCGTACACAAATTTGAAGTCGGATGCCAGAGCTCGACAACAGCCTGTTTTCATTCTTAAGTGAATTGACTTACTTCCAGCGAGTGAATGAACAGGTTGCATATGCATATGCTTGCCACCTTGGCACACTCCCACAAGATCGCCGGTCCTGTGTCGCCACAACCCGGAGACTTCCCTATTCTCGGAGCCGAAGTTTCTCAAACACTTGGTTCGACGAGATCTCTACGTTCATCAGCTATGAATCGCAGTCCCGGAACTTCGTTAGATTTTGATGGTGGATGCATCACTGTGTCAAGTTACTCAGGAAATTGGCTGTTTAACAGTTCCACTATCTCCTTGCTATTTAAAGGCTCTCGACCGCAACTGAGACCAGGTTTAAACCTTTACTCTTTGGTTTTCAGTGTGACATAAACCGATATAGGCTTTCCGGGTTGTAACCTACCTACTTGATCAGGTTACTCTGGCATGCACGCCTGCCATTTTGAACTCTCATATTACACGAGCTGCACAAAGTCTTGTAGCTAAGAACGTCCCATTCATTGTATGATGTGCACCACTGACACGATGCCCTTTTTTCCCTCTGTATTGGCCTTGGGGTTGCGCGAGTTTCCCAGGACCATTCCGAAGGTGGCCGTCTGGTTAATTTCGAAACTTCCCTTTCAGTAGTGCTCCAGGTAATGTCTTCAATATCTATCCAGTGAGTGCAGGATGTGGATGCGTACTCACTATCATGTGACGGTTTCTGCCTTTCGGTAACAACTGAACGCTTCTGGCCCAACTATCGATGAGTTCTCTTTGGTAATCAGGCAGGATCTCATCAAAGCATGGAGAATTTTACCTGGGGGAGGTTGGACGCAGATATCGTCCACCAAAAGATCATTTACTGTTAGAACGTTGTCAAGTGGTGATCCTTCTCCATCTGGTAACCCAAGTTTCGCTATTAATTCTGCTGCCATAAAAGCGTTTCGAAGTTTATTTTCAAAGTATTTATGCTTACGTGATACTTCACATCCTGGGTTGCGCCGGTGTGTTGAAGTCTCCAGCCAGGACTACATACTCATAGGCTGCCAGGGTGGCTGTCTAAATGGCACTGAGCACTTGTGCCTTACGCTCTGTTGTGCATAGAGGTGGCCTAAATAACATTCCCACCAGTTACTTGGTTTGGTCTAGGGTGAAATACCACCTTAAGGAGCCTGGTGGTAAGCTAAACACACTATCGGTCAACTCCTCGACTTTCAGATCCATGCTGATGTCTCATTCTATGGATCCGCCCGCCAGTTCGTGTATCCTATGTACACTATGGTTTCAGGTTTATGCAAATCACTAGGTACGGTCTTTCCCTCCGCCTTCCCGGTGGCCTATGGTTTATCTGGCTTCGCCCTGATGACACAGGAGCCCACCATGTCTAGTCGGCGCGACAACAGCAGTGCATTCTCTGACTGTTTCGCCGTTGTCGACGACACCCCAAAAGGTGGTAGCTTGTCTTAAGGTGCTACACTTCCTCGAGAAAGCCGTTATAAGTTCCTATCCCTAACTTCTTGCAATAGCCCGTCCCATTTCTTCTGGTCATACCGGTCTCGTTTTTCTAAAGGGGAGTCTGTTAGTGTAGAGACGTTGAACGGGATGATAGAATCCGTTCTCCTGTCCATGAGTGCGCGGCAGTGGGCCTGGCAGCCAATGCTTTTGGTTTACCACCCACCCTGTCTACTTCAGTCAATACATCCTCGACATGACGTGTCTCTTCATGTTGTTAAGTTCCGTCGGGTCGTCTGGGTTGTATCAATACTGGTGGAGACTTCGTTGGTACCTAACTTGGAGTAGAAACCAGTAGTTTCCCATGCCTAAAGGTGACAGCTTCTCAAACTTGTAGAGGTCGTCAGCTTTCCGAGGGTGGACTATGGGAGTTTGTGCCCTGTAATATTTTCGGCCGCACCAGGCCTCCCGGTTTTCCTATGGTGATGGCAGGTAATTTCCGACATTCTGAAAATGTATGCCACATCTACTTATATGGGTGCTCTCTCATAAAGACCGTAGTGTTGACCTGATTTATTATTAAAATGGTTATAGCCTACCGATTTTAGACCGAGGTCGGATGCAAAGGCTTTCTGAGCCTCTGACACTGAGTCGTTGCAGATACTACAGTCGTCAAAGGCATGCTCATCGTTGGCGACTGAGTGGTTTGCCTTCTTTGAGGCGAGGTCAAGCATGGCTTATGTTGGTACATTCGTTAGTTGGCATTCGCGTTTTCCCCGTGCTTTGTCTTCTACCAACTGGATGTTTGGGGACGTGTTACTATCGCTCCAACAACATCAGTTTAGTGGTTTCGGTAAATGCTTCATCTGGTGTGACCGTGATACAGGGATCCTGGATCGCGTGGGAATCACCACGCTCGTCTTTTCTGCACAGACTAGATCCTGTCCATCCGTAGATCTCATTGTGCGAGTTAGAGCCAGTGACCAAGTTTTCTGTACCACTATAGTTAAGTGGTTTTAATATATGTGATCCTTCGGGTAAAAGCACTTGAGTAATTCGACTAGCATTACTTTTTTCGAGCAAGGAATCGCTGACTCACTTCCTCTTCTTTTTCAGTGATTTTTTTGCACATACATGGCATACACATGACTTTCATTCCTGCCAGATAACCTAAAAGCATGACAAAAATTATAAATTTAGACTAAATTGAACCATTTTTATGTGGTGCAAGGCTTCATTTCTTTTAGACCAGGGATCTCTACTACCTAGGGTGAGAACGAGATGATAAAAATTTATTGTAAATAGGAAACTATTACCGGAGATTTCCCAACACTAGTTGTTATAACCGTACCTGTAAAAATTATATACACCTGTAAATTCAGGGACAAATTATTATTATCATACAAAGAACAAGGAGAATAAATCATAAATTAGATAGCTTATCAGCGGTTAACTGATGCCCGGTTTTCCTCACTTTATCAGTAACTGTAACCAAGTACTGCAAGTGCGTATATATAGACCAAGAAGAACGTTTCTTGGTGAATGATCCCCGAAAAATTAATCAAACTGATGCCGTCAGGAATAATCATTTAGCTACTGAAACGAAATAAAGTTTCAGTTTTGGCATTTTACATTTCCTGGGTATATTGAGCATAGATGTCGCCTGTTTGCTTCAAATGGAGGCGAAACTTTCCGAAAGTCTGAGTCGTATGTAAGTTAATGCACTACTTTATTCTTCTGTTCCTATAAGCCGGGGGATTGAGTCATAACTAGTTGCTTTCTTAGATTTTGTCTACGTGATTGGAGACACAAATCTGGCAACTCTTTTAGTCAATGTATACCAATATACTGCCTGACTAGCAAAATCTCCTATTATCTATTGCAGATCGAACTTGTTACGGCTAGAAATTTTCGAAGCATGACTGTTGGTTTGCCATTAGTTTTCGATATCAGTAAAAAAACACAGCTTCAATAATTCAATGTGTTTTTCCCCTATATTGTCCAACCACACCTTACGATAGATAGTACTACACAAGGTAAATAGTGGGTAATCAGGCACAGAATATATTCAATGAAGGTTTGGCACCCAATCAATAGAACTGCTTCCTTCACCGAACAATCTAAGTCAAACAGCGCATACTTTTGGCTTAGACTGTTAGGTGAAGGAAGCAGCTCTATTGATTGGGTGTCAAACCTTCATTGAATATATTTTGTGCCTGATTACCCACTATTTACCTTGTGTAGTACTATCTGTCGTAAGGTGTGGTTGGACAATATATGGGAAAAACACATTGAATTGCTGGAGTTAATATTGTTTTTTTTTACTGATATGAAGTGTTGGTAATGTATTAGACCTTCCAAAATATTAAATATACATCACTTACTTGATGAATTAATGGTTCCTTATATGTTTTAGTCGAAGTATACACTATAATGGACTGTCCCATTATTTTCCTATTTTCGTAAGTTTGGGGTTGAAAAATTTTCAAGAAATGTTTATTCACTTTCTGTATCGGCAGGTGTTTCTTCGGTGAACATTTTATCATCCCATGCATTTCGGCGATTAGGTTCTTTGGACCACTCATCGAACCTTGTTTGCGGATTCTCTGCGTCAGTGGTTTTTTAAGGTTTGTTTTTGTGGTTCCAGCTATTCACCATATGTGTACGGCCTAATGTTCATTCAGATTTTAACATGACCGGCCATTTCGCCCCACGATCTTCAAGACCTGATGGCTCACTGATGGTCAAGGTGCTTTTAGCTCCTTGGGTTATCTGTAGACCAATGTATGGGTGATATTCGCTCGGTCACTGATACATGAGATAACACTTCCTCAAGCATCTAGCATAATAATGGCAGGAGCTACTTTCTTAGCCGCTCCACAGCAATATAAATTTCACTGCAATCTCGTTGTAATGTATCAGTGACTGAATTAGGTTCTACTATACGGATGTCAGGAAAGCTACCTGCTAACCAACTGGTGCTTGTATGTTTCCAATAATAATAATATTTCAGAATATATATATATATATATATATATATATATATATATATATATATATATATATATATATATATGTATATATACCTGCCTCCCAGTGAGTAATGTTGTTCCCACCGGGATTCGGACTCTTGAGCGATCGCTTCAAACGCGAGAGCATTATCCACTACACCACCAAGCCACGATAGCCACTTGTGCGACGGCTATAGTTTTAGTGTTATTGCTTGTATTGTACCGTCGTTGATTGGACCGAATTGATCAGTCTCTATTGGCATATGGGCTCCTGTGCGGATGCCTCGATATTGCCTCTCGCATTTGAAACGACAGCTCCGGAGTCCGAATCCTGGTAGGAACAACATCACTCACTGGGAGGCAGGTGTATCCAGTTGACGAGTACCACATAGGACGAGATGCGCATCCTGCATTCCACTGCCAACCACTACCCATCATTACTATACATAATTAAAACACAGGCAATATCAAGGCATCCACACAGGAGCCCATATGCTAAAAGACTGACCAATCCGGTCCAATCAATGACGGTGTAACACAAGCAATAACTAATTTCAGAATATAGTTGCAACAAACTTACACAAGATAAAGTAGATTTGGCCTATCAAGTATCTAAACAACAGTCACGCAAAGGTCATTAGATAGCCAGGATACCCTCATTAGTAGTGAAGGGTTGCATTTTTATTCACTTTGACATTGACTCATAGATTCAATGTTTTATGAGTACCGAATCTGTTAACGTCTGAGTAACACAAGTTGACTCAGTCTACTTCCATGTAACTAACTATCCTTTCCTCGTTGCTATGTTAATAAACGTCAGTCTACTTTACGCTTTTCAAACAAATAGTACTTTGAGCTTGTTTGTTAAGGTTTAATTTAGTATAACTTTAACAAATGTCATCAATTTTAACCCCTCAAGTCTTGTTTGGTTTAGGTTATCTAGTCCAAAAGTCACAGCTGTTCAGTGTATTGATTCTGAGGGTCTTTGCATTTCTTCTCAAGGGATCGTCAATGACCAAACTTCTGGAATCCTGAGTAGTATATATAAGCATGCTGCAGGAATTGAGGAAAGCACCGATCCACCGGTGTTAGTGATCGAATATGAATCCAAGTAAGTTTATCTTTTAAGCATTCGTGCATTTGGTTACCAATAGATCAAGTATTTTGTGTGAGTCGGATGGGATCATAACTGCTATACATAAGAATCAGTGACAAAAAAGTTCGGTAGAAATAATAAAATACGGTTATCGAACGTTTTCACACCTTGCCGATACTTTTTCTCGAAAAACTGTCTACAGTTGCATCTATTTTCAATAACTTTTATTGTACACCCATTGCAAAATATTTCAATTAAACTGATCAAGTAACCATCATTTTTCTCAAATGTTGAAGCTTTGAATAAACCTGATGTATGATTCTGTACCCCATTGTTAGGTTTCGAACTGTGTCAGACAGTTTGAACGCCGCAACCTATGAACGTAATATGGCTTTTTCCTATATTTCGGCTTCAAGAAAATGACAACCTGCAAAGGTTGCAGTTACTCTAATAACCACTCTTTTACCGTTTCGCCCTTTTATTAGGATCACCTAGGAAACTATCCTGTTTGCTTTGTTACTTCAGGCGAAACAAACTGACTAATTTGTCGTTTTCAAATAGAAGCAGATTTTTCAAAACTCAGGAAAAAACGGAGCTGTTAATCACTGATCTTAATTGATTTTCAGTCAATGGGTCATGAGTTGGGACTGTTTTCCATCTGTTAGGATTTGAGCAACCAGATAGCACTACCAGCCTTGGCACCATGGACATGCGAAATCAACGTAGAACTTCACACTGTGTGTCGGTCCAAGTTGCCACGTTACACCATGTAAGGAACAAGTACATCGAAAGAGTGATACCAAAAGAAACAAAGATATGCTGTTGAAGAGATAACCCTAAACAAGTGAAGGTTAGTAAAAATGTTCAAACTCTCGAAAATGTCAAACACGCCAAACAGCCATTTCACTAAGACTCTCCAAACATTGATCCTAACAGTGTCAAGTATCCCAGCCAGTCACCCTGAACCTCCTTACGCATCTCATAACACCAGTAACACACTCCATAACCTGGTGCTATACCTTGGTCTTGTCTAAGTATTCTTCCAATCTAATCCTACTTCGACTAAAATCACATGTTCAGGTAAATGGTGCCTTGAAATGTGCAACCTACGTACAAGTCATCTCAGTCGGTGGACATTCACAGTCTTATCATTTGACTTGCCTAGCATTCTACGTCTAAACTCTCTACTGCCCCCATGGCGATTTCACTACACGTAATTAGTGCTACAAAGACACCAATGGTCATAAACCTATCAGCTTCATACCTCTACATTCCAGGGACTATGTCTCACAGCTAAGTAAAATGACAGAGCAGACTGTTGCAGGGTGTTTCGTCTTTTGATAGCCATTTGAATGTCTCGCCATGGCTATAGGTAGCGTAGTGTAGCAAATTCCAAGTTGTTCTGTATTTGGGATGACGTTTTGTTGACAACTAAACCGATCGGGCTGATATAACTTGCTGAGTGAGGTGGTCAACGCATTCCACCACTTCACTCCCTTTCCTCAAACTAGGAGTCGATGCAAAGGAGTCCTGAAGCATCTCTCATATGGCAGTTGCGAAATGCATACTTGAAATACTTAGACAAAAAAATAAGACATATTCTTACTGTTTTGTCGAAGTTCATAAAGATAACTAATTGTTCTAAAAATACTTGGGTTTCTGCTGAGGACGTTTAGAACATTGCACTTTATCAGCATCACTTATCAGGACAATGTTGACTTTGCCCACCCAATCAACCACGTACCCACCTGGGATTAAGTCAGTCGTTGTAAATTCGGAAGTACCTAGGTTAGTCATCGCTGGAGAGGATCGGTCGAAGACTGCCGCTCCTTCTGGAGTACATGCTTGGATAGCGACCACGCGCCGGTCCGAATGCGTATATGTCTGCATCTCAGTGGATGTAAGAAAATTTAGCAACAAAGCCACCACGAGTACTGCTGGACAACGAAAACACCAAAGCCGTGTTCAGTGAGAAGTTGGCTAGGCAGTTATCGGAACAGAAGACTATCACTCATCCAGAAGAAGCTTGGTATCTTCAGTCTGCAGCACTGAAGACCGTAGCCGACTCCGAAAGAGTAGATAAAAGGAGCCAGTGGATATCAGTAGCTTCTTCCGAACTAGTAGGTGCACGTGAACACATCCCTGCAGGCCCCAAGTACAATGAAGAGTGGGCACAACTTAAAAGTGGACTGAGAAAAAGTCTGCGCAACGACAGCGACCCGTGGTGGGCAGCGAAGGCTAAAGAGATGGAAAAGGCGGCGGTGATTAGTAACAGTAGACAGTTATTTAGACTTATTACAGAAACTGGGGGGGGGAAGGTCAACTGCGGTTAGTAAGACCATAGCGGAGAAGAACGGATCTGCGATTCATTCGCAGGGGAGACAACTGGAACAATGGGTAGGACACTTCAAGGAGCAGTTTAAATAACCTCCAGCTACCATTGCGTTGCCCACTATCCAGTCGGATCCTGAATGGAACATTGAGATAGGATAAGTTGAGAAAGCGGTAGGTAACCTGAAACGAGGAAGGGCAACAGGACCAGACGGACTACCTGCTGAAGTACACAAGGATGGTGGTGGAGTGCTCTTAGTCAGGTTAACGGAAGTGTTAGCTAGTATATGAGAATCAAGTACGGTCCCCTCTGACTGGTCTGAGTTACTGATTATCGCAGTCTTCAAGAAAGGCGAGAAGTCCTCTTGTGATAACCATAGAGGAATCAGCCTGACGAACATAATTTCCAAGATTCTAGGTTCTATAATTCTTCGACGCCTGAGTGGAGCTCGGGAACAGCAAGCCCGAGAAAACCAAGCAGGCTTTAGAACTGGCCACGGATGTATCAACCAAGTATTCACACCGCGCCAGGTTTTGGAACACAGACAAGCTTATCAGCACCCGACACTGTCTGTATTTCTCGACCTGAAGGTAGCATTTGACTCCGTTGATCGAGAAGTCTTATGGCAATGTCTGTAACTGAAAGGCGTGCCGAGTAAGTACATTACTTTATTGAAGGCTGTCTACTCGAACACTTGCGGGCGTGTAAGAGCCTATGGAGAGATGTCAAGTAAGCTGTACTCATCCAGTGGTGTCCGTCGAGGATGCACACTCTCTCCATTCTTATTCAATTTTATCATAGATATTCTTATGGAGGTTTCTCTCTCGTCACACACAGAGGTTGACCTAATAGCTGGAGAATTTTCGTTAGACCTAGAATATGCAGATACGGATACAAAAGGCTCGATTGGCTTTTGCCAATTTGCGCCACCTATGGCGCCGCCGTGATATTCGTTTGTCTATTAAGGGTCGCGTGTACTGCACAGCAGTCCGCTCTGTTCTACTGTATGGCTGTGAAACATGGCCATTGAAAGTGGAAGACATGAGAAGGTTACAGGTATTTGACCACCGTTGCCTTCGTAGTATAGGACGTATTCCGTGGTGTCACCATGTGAGTAATGCAGAAGTTAGGTGTAGAGTTTTAGGGAGAAGAGGTAAGTCAGTCGACGAGGTTGTGAACCTTCATCGACTGAGATGGTTGGGACACGTACTACGTATGCCTAGTCACCGATTGCCTCGTCACACAATGTTGGCTGAGGTGGGTTCAGGCTGGAAAAAGGCCCGAGGTGGCCAGACTAAAACATGGCACCAATGTATGAAGTCTCTGACTGTTGGTTTAAGCCATGTAGGACGATGCAGACTAGGTGGTTGGGGTCCACGGGACAAGAGGAACCAGTGGTTGGAGACCCTAGGTGATATGGCTCAGAACCGAAGTCAGTGGCGCAGATGTATACACACATTATCCTCATCTTAACAACGCTATACCGAATCTCACTATTTTGTCACTCCTCTTTCCTTTCTTCTCGTACTTTATATTTCTTTTGACTGCATTCACTTATCTTCATCCTTCACCTCACTACCTTTTTACTTGATGTGCTGATATGAGGTGTGGCAACTCGGACCGTTACGCAGTAATGCCTGGTCCTATGTTGATAATGATGATGATGATGAGAATATGCAGATGACATAGTCCTGTTAGGTGAAGACGCTGACAAGATGCAGAGTTGTCTGAACACTTTGAGTGGGGATTTGAGAATGTTTGGGATGCGTTTCTCACCACCCAAATGCAAATTGCTGCTCCAGGATTGGTCTTCAATGGTGCCACGGCTAACAATAGAGAATGTAATGGTTGAGTATGTTGACCAATTCACTTACCTGGGAAGTGGGATCAGCCCTGCTCTGGTGGCTCAGTTGGCGATGAAATCTCTGCACGGATACAAAAGGCTAGGCTGGCTTTTGCCAACTTACACCACCTATAGCGCCACCGTGATATCCGATTGTCTATCAAGAGTCGCATGTACTGCCCGGCAGTTCGGTCTGTTCTACTGTATGGCTGTGAAACATAACCATTTAAGGTGGAAGACATGAGAAGGCTTCAGGTGTTTGACCACCGTTGCCTTGGTAGTATAGGCCGTATTCCGTGGTGTCACCACATGAGTAACGCAGAAGTCAGGAGTAGAGTTTTAGTGAGAAGAGGTAAATCAGTTGACAAGGTTGTGAACCTTCATCGACTGAGATGGTTGGGACACGTTTTACGTATGCCTAGCCACCCTCCGCCTCGTCATACAATGTTGGCTGAAGCAGGTCCAGGCTGGAAAAAGGCCTGGGGTGGCCATACTAAAACATGGCACCAATGTATGAAGTCCCTGACTGTTGGTTTGAGCCATGTGGAGCGGTGCAGACTAGGTGATTGGGGTCCGCGGGACAAGAGGAACCAGTGGTTGGAGGCTCTAGGTGATATGGCTGAGAACCAGTGTTAGTGGCACAGATGTATACTTACATTATCCTCATCTTAACGACGCTATACCGAATCTCACCACTTTCTCATTCTTCGTTTCTCTCTTTTTGTACTTTATATTTCTTTTGACTGCATTCTCTTATCTTCATCTTGCGCCTCACTGCCTTTTTACTTGATGTACTGATATGAGGTGTGGCAACTCGGACCGTTACGCCGTAATGTCTGG